ACGCAGCGGATAATGGAGGAAATGATGGCTGCGATGATGATGCTGTCGGTCGAGCAGCTGACGGCAAGACCGAAAACACGCATAAACACCTCCGGCAGGCAACAGCCGACGGACCTCAGGTGTTACTGGTGAACTCGTGTGCTCCGGCGCCCCGATAGCACGCGCGGGCGCGTGTCCCAGCTTAAAAGTCACGCAGTCTTTTGTGTTTTTGCGCTGCCCGGGGAGAAGTACACAAAGCACGCATAAGGCGCGTAAAGAGAGCATCCTTTTGTTACGCTCTCGGGGGAGTTAAGAGTACAAGTTGTCAGCATCCAATGGTCCAAGTGCTCGGTTTGAATGCACCCAGTAGGACATTTAAACCTACTGCTGGCTTAAGCTTATGCCCCGTCCGTTGTGCTGCAGCCTTTGGCCGCAAAGTTACGGCGGTCAGCGAGGTTTGTCCGCTAACCTTTCCATGGCAGTCGGTACTCCGGATTTAGGAGGACGTTGACGTCCTCGGTTTACACATGTTTGCAATGCGTCGTCGATGAAAATATCCGTCCATGAAATTAGGTGGGTCAGAAGGGCATCTAGGTGAAATGAAACTGGGCTGAAGTATTTGTGAGTGTCTATAGATTTCCGTAAGCCACAAGTGTCGGATGTTGCGTCCTCGTATGGGATGATATCTAGAGTTTGCTTTGGTTTACCGCTTCCCCCATTTTGAATCGATCTTGAAAATTGGTTCTAGCCTTATCTTTCAGGACGTCATGGTGTGACAAATATCGCACCCAGAAAGCACATTGGAAAGTCCAACCAACGGGAAACCGAGTGGAGAAAAGCGCAAATGTCCACTAGCCTCCCGTCATATCCCTCAATCTTAATCGCACCTTTTGTCGATATAGTTAACTTGATGGTGCGCTTTTATTTCTGTTGCCTGGCCATCATAATTATTAGTATGTTGCTTTTTAATTTCCTCCGATATTAACTGAAATCTTGGAGTAGATCAGTATATTTTAGGGTCTGTAGGCCCAGACCGAAATTTGATCTATGAATATCTCGACCGAAGTCCACCGGCCACAGCCGATGACTGCGTAATATCCATTAACTGCAGGCAGGCAGCTAGTAGTATATTTTGAGGTAAGGGGATACCATACTAACAGCACTGGTACTAGCTTAAAGCCCATACATGCGTATTTCGCCGGTGTTCTGCTGCCACATGGCACAGCTCTGATGGATTCGACTCATCAGTGGGTCCCCCGGCCAAGATATTCATGCATCAAATTTCGGTCCGCGTCTCTAGACCCTAGAATATACTGATCTACTCCAAGTTTACAGTTAATTTCTGAGGAAATTTAAAAGTCGAAATTTCAAAACTGGAGTATCTACTCGAAAAGCATACGGATAACGCTGGGGTCTCATTGATGAGCCGAATCCCTCGCAACTGTATCATGAAGCGGTGGAACATCGGCATTCACGAAAGTCGAACTGACGTGACAATAATTCAAGTCCACTCTTTCACCATCGGTCGAGGATTGGCTAACACGCCCAATAACTGTCTCTCGTTCTGTTGCTGCTACTATCTACGACGATGGACTCCTGCACTATTTCGAAAGTTCAGAACCATAAACAGAGTGTATAGGTGCTCCACCAGCTTTCTTCTTCACTTACAGCTACACCTAGAACTCGAATTTTCGTCCTCGTTTTTGAAGAATTAAAGTACTGAAACATGACAGATGAATAATCCGAGAGGTGTTAATGTGAAAACTGTTCGTTTTGACTACTTCTCATCTGGCGGATTTCAGAGTGATCGTTTAGGAAAACCTGTTTGGACAATCAGCTCTCCGCATCAGACCTGGTGGTTTCCATACGTTGCAGTAGACTGAGTGGTTAACTTGGCCCACATGTGACTAAACTCCCAGCCCCGAGTGGGGCCTCGTAGTTCAGGTGGCTAGAGGCTTGGTTTTACTCAATCTTTGCCCTCGCTGTCGTGGGTTCGAATTCCACCGAGGTCGCAAACTTTCCGCAATTGGGTCAAGTGACTTATTAAAACCTGCCAAAACACCAAACAAGCAAGTGAGCCTTATAGTGGTCTGGTGAATTCTATATTAGTTGCTTAGGAAATCCTGTTTTCGGCAGTCAGCTTACTGTGTCAGAAATGGCAGATTTCATACATTCCAGTAGGCTACCTTAACTCAAATGTGAATAAGTCCAAGTTTCATAGGCGAGCCCTCGTACCTCAGGTAGTTAGAGCGTTGGCTGTACTTAAGTCCTGGGCTTACTGTCTTGGGTTCGATTCCCGCTGTAGATGCAGAGTTTTTCATAATTGGTCGAATGGATTATTCACTTCTTCCAGAATACCTACCCATCATCATCTGCCCGGCTCACACAAGAAAAGACTAATTACCCCTTAGTCAGTCGAGAGAATAAGCAGTCAGTTTACAATATCTGAACTAGCGGATTTCATACGTAGAAGTGGTCTGAGGGTGTAACTTGATTCAAATATTACTAAACTCACATCTCCCGATGGGTACTCATAGTTCAGGTGGTTAGAGCGTTGGCTGCACTAAGGCCTCCACCTTGCTGCCGTGGGTTCGAATTCCACAGCAGCCGTCGATATTTTAACAAGTGAGTCAAATGAATTATTCAGCTCTGTCAAAAACGCAAATAACGGTGGGAGTTATTAATTTTAACCTAGATCAGGAAATGCGCCTAAATTTATTAAACAGCTTTTATTACTGGGAAACCAACCCAGATGCATCGACTTAAATTCATATGAAGACATAAAAGAAATGTTAAAAGCGAATGTAAGTTGCTGAATGACAGTTTACTTGAAAAAAAAGGCAAAGTGCAGAAGACGCAAAAAATCGTGTCAACAAACATAATGACTGTTCATGCAAACAGCTGAGTAAATAAATCAGCAGAAATAAAACGCTTGAAAATCGTCCTTTTGTCTAGGTCCCACATAAATCTCCCCCAAGAATTGAGGCGATATCATGAATGACGGTTAGTCAACTGTCTACAGTCTGAGTATATATTTTTAGACGGTTCCATGAGAATTTGCTGTAAGTTTTCTGTCTTTGCCCCGTTTGAGATGTAGTTGATAAGTGCAGAGAAAATTTCGTTTATGGAGACGTCACAGGAATGGACCTTTTCACAAAGTCACATGTTTGCAGGCCGGACGATAATTAAAGGGCTTGAATAGAATCAACAGATGCATACCAATTAGTGTGTATCAAGAGAACTTTTCTTCCGTAAAGATTCCTGTGATTTATGTGCCGGTTGAGTCCGCTAAGTCGCAAAGTTTCCTTTAAATACCAGTGAACGCTAGACGGTTTTTAATGTCCTCTTTCGACTGCCCAAAAAGTTACGTGTACGAAAACCTTCGAAATCGGACAGTTCTTGAGAGCCTTGCCTGCCCAATGATTTCCTGGACGTGCTTCTTCTAAACAGAAAGTCGTTCGGGCCAAACCTAAAGGCTTTTTCAAACATGAAGCCTTATCGTCGACAAAAATGGGCATCCACAGTTAATATGTCATATTAATGCGGCTGCCTTTGCGAGTCCACTATTCCTATCCGTTGCTGCCTCCGAACATAATTCCTGTTCCAGCGACTGGGCCTGCTTCTTCTCCAATTCCTGTCTAAAATGAAAACTGGTATTTCCACACAGATGGACCCTTCAACAGTTACTGTTTCAAAACCTCGGACTAACTGGTCTTCAGCTGCCCGGGGACGTTTGCTTTTTACTTGTCTGAAGTTCCCAAAGTCTTATGACAGTTCGACCGTTCCAAGCGATGACCTCTAACACGGTCTGGCAAGGTAGACCCGACAGCTGTGGCTTGTGTTGCATCTAGCCTACCCCCTTTTTCCTCACCCACCCTGCTTCGGTGACGAGACAAAACCAAGAAGGCCAGAGGTGGGCGCAGACGGAGTTGGTGACGGAGATAAACGGCCCGTCTACGCGTACCACACACAAGACCTGACCATAATGCATCCGCACAATGAGGGCAGTCTGAACCTTGAGTGGATGAGAACGCCAAACGGGCTACGACAAGCAGGACGTGTTGCGGCATGACCCTCCACTCCCGTCTTGAGCATGCACGCACACTGAAAGTCATATAAGAATGGTGTTAAGTAATCTGTCCTGACTGCGGTACGAAATACGGCGATGCCTTTTTGCCTTCGAGTTCAAGTATACGCACTCGCACTTCAATGGGCGGGTTTTAGTAAAGAATCGCCTCATGTTTTGTTCTGCAACCGGGGTAGGTTGGAATGGCTATCCCTGCGATTTTAAATACTCCCGATCGCAGTCGAACGAGTGCGGGGTTGGGGCCGGATGACATAATGGCCCTGGTCCAAGATCAGGTCTGCCCTATCTAGAACATAGTGTTCTGAGGACGACGACGACGATTGTACCAGAAACGTCGAATCAAGTCTCCACCGTCTTTGTTGGTGGCATTTTTCGTGCATAAGCTCATCGTTCTACCTATTCTTCTACCCTTCTACCAAAGTTTTCGTTGTAGATTTCCAAGGACACACATAACCCTCCCTAGTTACATTTCCACATTTCACCACACTTATGAAACGCAGAGAACCCTGTTAAGTTTGCATCCCTGTATTTGAGTCTACGGCCCTGATGCAGAGTACAGATTAAGATGGAAAAAATAATGGTTTGTGACTTTAGGTCCGGATGCAAGTGCAACAACTGAAGCTGACGAGGCAAGGTCTGCTCAGAAGCTACCGAGAGATGTTTTCCGAAGTCAGCTCATTCTAATCACAAGAACACTTAGCGCGTAAACATCGCGTGATAAAAACGGCACGAGCTGTTTCTGCTACCTGCGTGTACTTTGAGTTGTAATGCAGGGTTTAGATAAAAGCGTGACTAACCATACACCAAAACAACTTCAAAGAGTTTATCAGCGTGACTGACCCAGGGTTGGAGGTGGACGTGCAAGTTAAGAAATAAATGGAATGGTAACTCGCATTTGGTGGTAGAAGGGCGCTCGCCGCTACGGAACTCACTCATTCAGCCTTGTGCCTTGGGGCTCTCTCGAAACTCGCCTGCAACCGCACAGCGGAGCGTAATATAGGCAGAATAATGGTAAGGGGCGCTCACCGATCGTTATTACGGAACTCAATCGTTCCGAGGTGCCTTACAGATTCTTTCTCGAGCCCAACCAGCAGCTGCACAGCGGCGCACGATATAGGCAGAATGGCATTACCGCCAATGACAAGGGAGACTGGACTTCTAGCCAAGAAATCGTGGGATCAAGCCCCAGGTGTTGCACATCTCGGAAATGACCATCCCAGTCTCCCTTGTCTTTGTCGGTAATGCTACTCACACCTCATATTTCCTCGAGAGTTATAAAAGAATTCGAAATAGTGTGATGGATACGGAAGTTCAGAGTGGAAAGTTGGGTCAAATTTCGTAACTCAATAGACCAAAAGCATGGTTTTTGGACATGTCAACATGCATAAGATTATAAAGTGAAAAACATAGCACCAAGACCGGGCCTGTCAGTCATGCTGCCTTCCAGGTCACGCACTATGAGAAGTTTTCAGAAGGTTTTGGGATCACTGTCAGAGCTAGAGTGCCCATAGGCTGTCGGAAAAAACAGTATGTGATTTAGCTCTTTAAATGTGATGACGAAAATTGGAATGACCAGCTGTGGGAAACTAAAATGCTGTATATTTTACTTATTCGTTTAGGCTATTTCAGCAAATATGCTTTTTTGCATGCCCAACATGTTTATAAATAATTTCGACAGTCACATTGTTTAAAAATGTCGCCAAAATCTATGTTGTCCTGTATTCCGGCCATGTAATTTTATATACTTCCCTAGATCTACCTTGTTAAAATTTATTCCAGGAAAAATATTTACATTTGTCGCTTTGCCGCTTAGCCGCGCTGAAACCGTGTTGTTTTGGAGTAAACGTGAACAAGAAAACAGTTGCTCTGCAAACTGAGGAAAATAACTAAGTTGGGGTACCACTCCCTGTCATTCCATTATTTTTAGGCCAATCTGCAGATTTTAGCAAAGTTTTAGGTAATAATCGAATGCCAAAGAGGAGGTTGTTCCAGATGCTGGTGCGGTCTTTTTGTGTTCAACTTTTAAACGATGTTGTGTCCCCAGTGTGACAAACATGATTCCTTCCACTTCTATAATCCTATGTTGCATACAAAAATCCTCCGAGAATGTTACTGGTTTCTTTCACCAATGCGTCACCGTGATGTGAAGTTAGAAGGTAAAGGTGAAGCTCTGGACAATGACATCGTCGGGGTACTGCGTGCTGTGCGAATGGCCTCCGACCCTCCAAGCACAGTTGCAAATAAGGAATTGTGAGATTAAAAATATTGCCTTCTTACGTTGGGATACAGTCCGATCCTGAAAGCCCAAACGAACTATGAGACAATTCTGGCGGCTCATCTCTCAAAGTCTTCTCCTTCTCCCCCTCCTTCTCCTCCTCCTCCTCCTCCTCCTCCTCCTCCTCCTCATTCTCCTCCCCATCCGCCTTCTCCTCCTCTCTTCCTTGTTTCCCCATTTTCCTTGATCCATTTTCATTACACCATTCGCCTAAACCTTACGATTAAAAACCAGTTAACTCCCATGAGTACCCGAAAAGACTTCTGATGAGCTTTTCTCTTGATTTGCAAAGAGTGGTCGTCCCGCTCAAACAGTAAAGGCAGCGTAATAAACAGAATTCAGTTACATACAGCACTCCCTTCCCCTCTAACTTACACCAGAACGGACGGCTGTCGAATGTGGGTTGTGGAATCATTGATTAAAGTGCCAACGTGAAATGACGGATGTGTGGTCACTGGGAGTGGGGGGGGGGAGTTCTGCAAGGGACTCAGTTACTCACTGGACTATCATGTAAGGGCGGTACCTTATCGTATCATTTTTCGTTCTGACGAACAATCTCCCGTAGTTGAAATCGCACCAGCTGCAGCACATGTAACTCTGAATATGCGGGTTGGTTTTATATCTTATTAACTACCTGGGGAGATAATGACGGCCTGGAACGACATATTAACACCCAGAGTACATGCTCTTGTGACAATACCTGAGTTCTTTGCTTCGAGATCCATGTTAAGTCGAAACCAATTGCGCCTGTCCTTGTTATAAGAGTTTTCTATGCAGAAGATCCTTTGCCATGGAAGTCAAAGGAAATCATACTTTAGGAGAAAGTGCGATCACTGGAACAAGAAGTTTATTGGCCTGATCTTTCAGATCCTCACCCGAACCATCATTGCAGATAGACACAGATAAGGATAGTGGAGGCACATCGAGTACAGTATTTATGGGACGTAGCTGCCTTGGAACCACATACGTGCTATAATTACCCGTTCTTGTAATCACCACCGGGGGTCGAAAGTGATGCGAAGCCCGCTTGCCAGTCCGCGTTTGAGTCGTGAACTGTCCCGATTCCATCACCGGTGTTGGAGGTTGGCGTGATAATTACTCGGTCGTTTGCTTCGCCATCACTGGAATTGCTGTTCGTCCGCGCCCTCTCCATGTGGCTGATCCCCCTGTCCAGGGAAAGTCTCAGCGCAGAACATGATACCGGGAGGTCATACACCTGTAGTGACATTTAAGTCCGTTTTGTTTTAATAAGTTACAATACGCTTTGACACAACTTTGAATAAGGCAAAGAACACGCACGTGCACTTTTACCTGCCGACGACTTTGTTCTTATTTACTAGTTTGTAACTGTTGGGATACTGCTATTTTCGTTTCTCGGATAGCCTACTCGCAGTGCCCAACTAGTGGGTTTGTCTCTTACACACTCCTTGCGCTTCAACTAGCCTTATCTGCGACTGCCTCTGATGATGGGTTTGAGTGCGGATCCAAAACTTCAGATCAAGAAATTTCATGTTCCAACGATTGCATCTTCCTCTTTTGAACTGCTTCCTGGAACTCGTCTGTTTGCTTTTATCGGAAATCACACTTTCGATTTTCGCCTGCAAAATGTGTAAATCCGGTAGACAAATAATGTGCAGTCATGCTGGTCTATGCCAGGGTCAGCGGGAAGGTGAGTTGCAGGAAAGTTCTCTTTGAATCAAAGTCGCAGTTAAAGAAGTAGGCTGGTGGCAATGGAGGCGACAGACATCACAATCAGTAAGGGAAACAGATCGTTAGTTAAGAGAACAGGAATGGACAAGGGGGGAGGGTGAGCTTGCATATTTAGTAAATAGGAAACAGTCCAAGGATTCCGGTTCCAGTGAAGACAAATACAAGTCTAATATACTAGACCAATTGTTCGACCTCCGATGTGTCCTACGTGGACGAAACCTACCATCCACTTAACATCCAGGCTTTTAAATTGAAAAGATGCAACTAAAAGCTATGGGAAACTTCCCTAGGTCTCCTGCTACGCGTCGGAAAAGTTGACGGGCCATCCGTCCTAGTAACCTGTCGCCAACATCTGTAGGTGCAAAGAAAATCGATTTTGTGGCCGCGAGTAGACCAGATCGATTTTTCGGCAAGTTCGAATCTTGACACCTGATTGGACAGCCTTGTACAGGTGCGCGCAGGTCGTGCGGCTGAATTAAGTGATCGGACAACGTTCTAATTATTTTGAATTTTAACTGTCAGCAAAGGCCAGCACGCATCAGGAAACGACCACCGTACAGCACCTGGACGCATTCACCCACTGCGGTGCTGTTCGCTGAAAGTATTCTATTCGAATTGAAGGTAGAAAATTTTCGGGTTGAGATTGTCATCGACTTCTGCTTTTTCAGAGATACGATTGGACTGCGTGTGCATGAAACGGGTCATGAGTTTAACTTTGCAGCCACCCAAAATAGTCGTCCACGTTGGACACAAAACAAGCTGACAATTGCTTGAAACCTGGGTCTCGGATGAGAACTCACTCGATCGATTTATCGATCTGGCGCCCAACGCAGTCACCTCCAGTCTTGCGCCGCTGGTCGATGATTGCCTTACACGCCCTATAACTGTCCCTTGTTCTGTTGCTGCTTCTATCTCCGACGATGGACTTCTGCACGGGTTCGAAAGCTCAGAACGATAAACAGTGTTCCGGTGCTTGACCCCCTTCTTCTTCTTCTTCTTCTTCTTCTTCTTCTTCTTCTTCTTCTTCTTCTTCTTCTTCTTCTTCTTCTTCTTCTTCCTCTTCTTCACCTATGCGGTTATTATTTATAAGTGAAATCGAGACTATCATACTGCCAAAAAGGCATTATTTTGGGGGTTTCGCCCCATAACCCCTGCAAGTTCGGAACATAGGTCACTTTGTAGACTTCCAACCCTGAGGTCGTATCCAATTTCCGAGGTAAGCGTAGAGAACAATTTGCCATTGAGATGGTTCATATTATCAAATATAACACAAATTGCAACAAAAAATAGTAGGGCATCACATGCTATCTGGACTGCTGTTTCATGAGTTGACGTCTTACCTTCATTTTTTGATATTTCAGTTCCTTTAAATTGTGATATTCCTATCCGGACGTTACTTATTGCACGCAGTCTCTATGAGAATCCACACCACCAAGGCCAGGACATGCCCACGCTACTCGTCCATTTCTGTAAACGCCTTCCATTTACAGGACAGCCGCCATTCAAAATTTAGCCACACGCAACTCCACACGTCGTCCTCTGTTACAGAAAACCTAACTTCTTCATCACCCAAACTGCCAAGGGCCCTTTTTATTATTTTCTTTTTCCTCATCAAGTTAGCAGAAAATGCATCTATCCATAATCCATGTCACTTCCTACTTATAACAAGAGTCAGGCCACTTACCTCACAGATCTCATTTTACGACCGCGAATGTTTCATCGCATTGCGTAAGAGCGCCGTCACCCGGCTGGAATGCTTTACGAGCCTGCCAGCGCTCTCCCACGCCTTCTGTGCCACTCAGGCGCACTTACGCGTAGACAAAAATCGATAATTCACATGTGCAGACCCGCGTCATCTGTCTGACACATCGTGCGCGCACACTGAGGTCAGTCGTGTGCACACAGCGTAGTCAGCCCGTCACCTGAAAAGACAGATCAGACAACCGTAGAGCAGAGTTTGAGAAGAGGCGTTGCAGACGAGGACCTTTTGTTATTTTGGTTCTAGGGCATGCACCGAAGTCTGTAAGTTCAGTCGACTCGCCTGTCGCGAGTTTAAATCTTTCGAGGTAGTCTTTTGTGAGCATTGAGAATGACCTTAGCAGTAGCGTGGGAACTCTGCTAATTTTATTTTTCTCGTCAACCATTGTACATAGGAAAGCCAGGACACTCAAATTCTCGATTAGTAATTCTGCTTAAACTGATCTAATTGTGGAACCTCCGCGACCTCGAGAGAATCAGAATCTCTGAGAGTGAGGGTGTGGCTTTAGCTCAACTGGCGGTCGAACCGCCTGAGCTACGCGGTCGCAACTGGAAGCCTTGTGTTTTTCATATTTAGCTCTGCATTTGGCCTCACATCTGATTTAATCGCCAAATGCGATGTCTTATTTAGTATAGAAGCTGAAATTATTCACTTCTACCCTCCCCGATGCAGCCCACGTTGCCTAGGGCTTTATTTGGCTTAAAACATATCTCCGGAACGACACACAATATCTTTACTGGTATATCATAACAGAAGCACATGTCGTTGTGGATGAAAACAGTGGGCCTCAGTGTGCGTTCTGTTGGGTATCCCAACGATACCATCCGCTCACAACAAATCCCGGTTTTGGACCTTTCGCCAGGTCGACTTCAGGCATTAAGAAGTCTACAGGATGCCCTGTTAAAGAATCATCAAGTGCCGTTGTGTGATATTAGATGAGGGCATCAACGTTTCCTGCTTGGCTTACGGTCTGAATAACCCAAAAATGGCCTCTCGGGCAGTCCTTGCTTGCGTATTTTGGTCTCTTCTTAACATCTGCGCCAGAAACGATCGACAAACTTCAAGAGAATGGCAAAGGCAGGAGTCGTCAGAGCTCGAGGACAGATCAACTTGCCTGACGTCAGGCGCCTCGAAATCCGCTAAATTTGCACCATAACTGGATTTGCCTTGAGTACCGGGAAGTACCGGGTGGCGTGTTTCACACAAGACGGTTACCATGACTCCGGAACACTATTTCGCAAAGTCGTGTGTTTCAATTTTAAACTCAAGTGGACGCAAATGGCTCCTT